AGTGTCAGATTAGCTATGTGAGCAGAGAGGTCCAGTGAACAAGCCATCTCCATCCCGACATTAGACAGAAACTTTCTAGTGGAACACACAAGGCTTCAATGGAATGATTTAATGTGCAAGCTGATTGGTCATCCCCTAGTGTTCTCTGGCAGTAGACGCCAGCCTGCTTGTCTTCCGTGCTGATGCAAGTTGCCTACACCAAATATTTATGTTCTTATAGCCGAGAAAAAAGTCACTGTCATCAATTTTATTTCCTGATTCAAAGTAAGACCGGGGAAGTGAGAAGGTCAAGCAGTGAGGGATGGTTCAGTCTTCATTATTGCTAGCACTTTTCATTTTATTGTTTCTTTATTTCTTCCTCTAGTAATAAAGAAAATTCTGGCAAGTTCAGATTAATCTGCAAATTATGAATGGAGAGATATGGGTGCTCAGACCTCAGAGTAGGGATCTCGGGTTTAGACTCAGGAGAAGCAGTTGCAAAAGGATTTAGACAGACCCAGCAATTCCTCTTTCCTTCCCCTCCAATCTCACTGTGGTGAAATTATTGCAGGTGTCCTGTTGGGGGAGAGAGAAGAGGAAAGGGCTGTCTGTGTCTTATGTTTGAGTTAGAGAGACTGTTACACCTACAGTGAGTCAAGAAGAATATCTGGTTCGACTCTTTTCTCTTGCCTCAAACACTAATTAAAAAGCAGGGAAATGTATCAAAAATCAAGAGTGTTGTTGTAAAAATAAAATAGTGTCAATGGTAAAGAAGCCATTAATTACTCTGGAAAATATGAGGGGGGCCTCTGAGAAGAGGGGCATGGTTTCTCCAACACAGCTCCAAAGGGTGCCCACCCATGGAGAAGCAGGTGCTGGCAGTAAGGACAGGCATGCGGTGGAGGGTGGAAGAACTTTGTTCTAACAGTGAGCCAGTGCCCTCAATGGATGATCCAGCTCCCCAACCTGTCCCTAGGATCTACTTAAATTCTTACAGTGCAGCAGCTGAGAGCCTGGCCCTGAGAGCCAGAGCTGAGGGTTTGTAATCTTGGCTTTTCAGGATCCTTCCTAGAAGGATTACCAGTGTGCAGTACTGTCATCCAGTCATGTGGGAGATTTGCTGCTGCCAGTTCCTAACTCTGATGAAAGGCAGAACTATGAGTAACCTGTGACCACCTTATAAGCCCTAGGGTGATTAGCACAACCCTGGGACCCTCCAGTTCTCTGTCTCCATGGAAATATCTTCCCTAACTTCCTATGGTAAGTGTAATGCCAATGGGCACAGATGTCCTGGATGTGCTCACAAGTAGATGAAAGAGCAGCAGGTGGCTCTGGTGGCAGCCAACATGCAGACTTGTGCATAAGCATCACTCTTCCTTCATCTGCTCAGCCAGGTCACCAAGTGGGTGCCTTTAGGCCTAAAGACTTCCAAAGCCGCCCAATCTGCCCCCAAACACAGCTTTCTTGTCTGTTCCCAACCATGATGAGTTTGGCCTGGCCTCAACTACACATCTCAGCAGACAGGTCTTCAAGGATGGAACCCTGCGGCCCAGGAACGCCAGTTTGGGGTCAACAGCACCAGCCAGAACATTTTCTAAGGGGGATTAACAGAAGCAATTGACTTAGATCACATTAGTGAGTGGGAGTAAACAACCAGGAACCTGTAGGTAAGCAATTAAAGAACAAAGAGAGTTCATGAGTGAAAGCACAGAGGAGGAAATTAAGAGAAAGCATGATGGAGACAAAGTGAAGCAGAATGGAAAAAAACAAAAACAAAAACAAAAACAATTACCAAGTAGAAGTCTAATTCCCAGAAATCTTACAGAGCACAGGGAAAACGTACAAGGTGAAAATTGTGCGCAAGAAGAGGAGAGGCCCAGGGATGGTGTGGAGCTGTGTGACCTAGACTGAGGGTCTGATGGTGTGAGCGAGATGGGGTGGCTGGAGAAGCTGGAGAAGGAAAGAGCAACAGCGGTACACATTGTATCATTCCCTCACAATCACGTGTAAGGAAGAGAGGGCAACCGTCACCCTCCTTTTATAGATGGGACTGAGGCTCAGATTGGAGGAATTAATGGCCGTCACCACGATACATGAAGTGGAGCTGGCACTGAATGCAGACATACCCTGCTCCTAGTCTAGCTCTTCCTGTGCCGTCAGAAATGTCTCAATGGGACTCCATGTCATGATAGATAACAGCACACGAGTGACTGGCTTCCTTGGGTATTTCAAGAAAAAAAAATTATGAAGCATCTAGGCTTGTTTACTTGTTTAGTGTAAAGAACAAAGGGCTCGGAAGAGGAACCACCACGGTTGATTTTAGCTTATGCAAGTCTTTTACCCTTTATTTGAATCTGTAAAATGTAAAGATAATGCGGATTAAATGACAAGATGTAAAACACAGTGCTTTGCCCGTGTACCTACTTATCTTGTTATCAGGGCCTCTGCATAGTAACATGTCCTCTGTGGGATTCCTCCCTTAAGGGGGTGCTCTGATTCAGAAAGTAAGCTTGCTTAGAACAACGGCCTTCCCGCAGAGGGCAGCAACGGGCTTGGTTCAAGGAGCAGCAGACAGATGCAGGCGGTGTGTGGGAGAGCTCACACACCTGCTTTGTGATGCCTAACGTTGGCCTTCATAGTTGATGAAGAGCATTTTGACATGCGAGTTACTTAAGCATAAACTGTGTGAGGCCCAGAGGAGCTGGACATAGAGCCAGGAGCAAGATTGACCCATTTTCTGACCTCATGTGACATTCACACAGTAAACAGGAGGCACGCAGGTAACTAGGTACAGCTTTGAAAAGTGCCACGAAGAAAAACTACAGGGCTCCATGAGGGTGTGGCAGGGAGGCCCACCTGGCCTGCTGGGACAGAGTGCTTCCCTGTGCTCATGACCTTTTAAGGTGAGTTCTGAGGATGTGGGGCAGAGAGGGAGGAGGATGAGGGATTTGTTTTGGAGGAGTGTGAGTGTGGTGACACAGGTGAAGAGACCTGAGAGGAAGCAGGGGAAAGCATTTGGTGACCAAATGACCTATACTGTGAAAAACCTGGAAAGTCCTTATGAAAGGAAAATTACAGCATCATCTAAGAAAAACCAACAAGCAAGTGTTGATAGGAAGGGTAAAAACATTACAGAAGCCACATTTTCACATACATATGTTAAAACCCTAGAAGTAAATAAGCGTGTGTATGATACATGAATACTACATAGAGAGGGCTTTTATTTCATTTTTTGATTACTTGTGGTACTGGGAATCAAACCCAGGGCCTTCTGCATGTCAGAAAAGCACTCTATTGCTGAGCTATATCCTCAGCCCTAATTTTATTTTTTGAGATAGGGTCTCAATATGTAGCTTAGGGCCTTGAACTTGCTGTCTTCCTGCCTCAGTCTCCCCTGTGCTGGGACTACAGTCATGCTACACCACATCTGGCTACAAAGGGCTTTTAAAGGAAGAAGTACGTGGCATAAAGCATGCTGGACAGTGTTCTCCACAGGGGACATGTGACAAAGGTTGGAAGTCTTGATTGTCAGGTGCGGGAGGCAGGCAGTACTGATATCTAGTGGGTAGAGACCAGAGATTCCACTAAATACTGAGGACATACGGAACGGTCGCTGTTATGTTATCCGGACATCAATGATGCTAGCTGAGAAACTCTGTAGACGTCATACTGCTGAGATCAATGAGCATCTATCTTAACAATAGAGAAGGTCTCCCAACCATAAGCTTCTCAAAAAGTTCAAAGACAAAAGCAAAGAACTATTACAATAATATAACCTAAGGTTATATTCCTAACTGATTCAATGACAAAAAGAGTTTCTATATAAAAATGGGTATAAACAGATGATCCTCAAAAGAAACAAATTCTAATGATCAATTTAGTAAGAAACAGATAAATTACGAAAGATAGACTAGCTAATGGTGTGCTAGTTCTCAATCCTCACTATTTATAGTGGTTTATCATACCATCTGTGGTTCTAGGGGTTCACAGGTTAGTGTAGACATGTACACAATTTGGGCAATTCGAATGTTGACTTGTATTAGTTTAAAACCTGCAGACTTTTTGACCAAACAATTTCACCTGTAGAAATGAACCGTTAAGGAAGAATCCAGAAAATGCCCACTTAGAGGACTGGTGCCATTTGCAATAGTGGGCTGACAGGAAGCAAAAAGGAATCTCCCATACTCTGGGGAAAGTGGTGACTCTCCTGGTCCAAATGAAAACAGTAGGCTGTTAAGAAAATGTGGTGTACAGACACAATGGAGTTTTATTCAGCCATAAAGAAAAATGAAATTATGTTGTTTGCAGGTAAATGGAGGGAACCAAAGAATATCATGTAAGCCAGGCTCAAAACGTCAAAGGTCGCATGTTTTCCCTCATATGTGAAAGCTGGACCTATAAGTTAAATATATATTATTATATATATATATATATATATATGCCATTTGTATAGAGTGAGAGAGAGCAAGACTGATTTAGTGGGTCTGTCTGAAGGACTATGGAAGTGGAAGAGGGAAAGAATGTTAGAGAATGAAAATACGAAACATCATCTACATATGAGTATGGTGTAACAATGCACGGTAAGTGTTGACTAACGGGGCAGGGTGATAGAGAAAGAGTAAGGAATGCGTTATCTGATTAAAGCAGGACATTACAGGCCTGAAGCCCCTGGCCTAGCAATACACACCTTAAAGAAAATGAGAACGGGAGGGAGACGGGTCTTTTCTAGAGGTGGGCACCAGTGGGTCAGGGGTAGGGAAAGTGAAAGGTGAGCGAGGTATTCATATATGAAAAGAAGAATGAAACCTGTTGAAATTGTTCTCAGAGGAGGGGAGGGAAAGGAGGGGGATGACAGGGGGTAAATCTAACTAAGATATATTATAAACATATATGTAAATATTACAACATATCTCCCTGCACAACTATTATATACTAATAAAAATAGAAAAAGAAAACAGTCTTGTGACCCCACAAGGCCAACCCCAGGTCACCTGCGCCCTGACAAAAAAACACACCTGCTTCTTCCACCAGCCATCACACACTGACAGGTCCTTGCTCCCCTCATCTGTTCTTTTCCCTCCTTCTGCTACTGAGTTTACATGTCTACCTACCTCTATACCTGCTCCAGGACACACCCTCCCACACTGAGCCATCCAAATGTCAGATTCCATGGTTGGCCTTACCTTTTGGCATGGATGTCTTGGCACATGCAGCCTTTATATTCCGGGCCCTTTTCACCACATTCCTTTGAGTCCCCTGACTCACCACCTGGAGCTTCTTTTGGATTCCACGCCCAGGTAAGGCTGCCTCTGAGCCAAACAGTGATTTGTGAATAGTTTAAGTCAGAGTTTTCAGGGGGCCTCCCTCCCTAATTAACGACACCCCCTGCCCGCAGCCCCATTTCCCTCTGCTCTGTGTGCACCTTTAACCCTCCTCCAGACTCATAGCTTCTTTTGTGGTTGTTTTTTTCTTTCATTTTTTGGGTTTCTTTTAAAAACAAGTTTTTGTCTCCTAACTCACAATCTTCCTTTGTCTTTTCCTCTTCAACTCCTTTTGCCAGTCTGTCCACCACATGGCACGATTTAGAATGCAAGCCCCCCGCCCCCACCCAGGGGCAGGAATTTGTGTCTGTTTTGGTCCATGTGCAGCACACACCTTAAGCTTAATGCATCTTTGATGAATGACTGAATGTAAGGCATTTTTGAAAATGTCAGGAGCATGGATTTTCCTTCCTGTAAATCACAATGCCCCAGGGATCCCTGGGAAACTGTTAGCAGGGTTCCAGGTAAAGCAGATGTTGCCTAGGACTGAGAAGTCACTGCTCAGCTAAGACCTTTTGGGAGTCTTTAGATAAAATCTTTTTTTGATAGTGCTCTGCGTTCTTCCTCCACTTCATTCATTTTTTCTTTTGGCATATTATTGCTGTACTGTGTATTGTGTGCATTGTGACATTTACCAAAGTTCTTACAATATATCATAGTTGAATTCACCCCTCCATTATTCTTCCCTACCAAAACCCCGTTCCTGGAATAGTTTAAACAGGTCTCATTTTCATACCTGAGTACATACTATTCCACCATATTCACCCTCCTACACCCTTTCCTTATGTCCTCCACCCTGCCACTGGTGCCAGCTCCCAGACAGGACCTGTTTTGCCTCCCTATTCTCTGTTTTTTTAAAAAAGACATTTTTGTTTAAGATAGCGATACAAGGAGTTTCATTGTGACAGTTCCATGTCTGTATGTATTATAACCTGAACTGATTCATCCCCTCTATTTTTCTCCTTTAACCCTTAGACAAAATCTTGAAAAACAGTATTTGCTGAGAGCAAAAGGGGATTTCTAAATTCCAAAAATTACCTTACATACTAAAAAAAAAAAAAAAAATGCTTGGTGGTCTTATTGTCAAGTTTCCCTTGAGAAAACTCAACAAATGACAGAAGGCAAGTTTTGTCCAAGCCAGGGAGGTAATGGAGTGGTGGACTGGGCAGGAAAGTCTCCTCCCACACCAAACCCTTACACGTGTGTGTGTGTGTGTGTGTGTGTGTGTGTGTGGCAGAGAGTGGGGGGGGGGAGGTGGGGGAGGGGGTGGAGGGAGGCTGGGGACAAGCAAAGAAGCTGGAATTTCCAAAGCAGGAGGTTCAGGCCCTGACTGCCGTTTGGGAAAGTCCTTCCCAGAGTGCCCCATGCCCCATATGCAATGCAAGAGATGCCTCATTGACTGGCACAACTTGGGCCTTGGTAAAAATAGTTTTAAGCAAAAGAATAAAGAAAGAAAGGGGGAAAGGGAAGAGGGAGTGAATGCAGAGCATAGTCAGAAAAATGCAGAGTGCTGTGAATGTTCGTTTTCTATAATGCAAATAACATGCTTTTGGTGCCCTAAAGAGCCAGGACTGCTGTTCTCTGGTAGTGACCCATGCGCTTTGGCCTTTTGGTGCCTCCCCATTCCATGCTCTTCCCTAGTAAGGGAGAGCCATAGCTCTCAAGTACTCTGACCCTAAGTGACACCCATCACTCCAGCTCACTGACCAGAGCCACTATCACGGAGCTGCCTCCCACAGGGAAATGGCACTGGAAGTTTCCAAGTGTCCCAGAAGGGGAGGAGGACCAGGAAGTAGAGAGAAGTCACAGTGCCCAGCACAGACTGTGCTGAGCAAGTGCTACTAGCTGTTCCCCCTCTCTTGTCCCCTCTTCTCCTTTCTAACAATGCCCCTGATTCTGAACTGGACACTTGTTCTTCTAGACTACATTTTCCAGCCTTTTCCAAAGTCAAGTATAGCCATGCAAATGGTCCTGGCAATGAAATGGTAGCAGAATCACTAAATGCAACTTGGACAGCATCCTTGAATGGAGAGGGCAGGTCCTTCTTTGTCCTTGCCTCTTTCTCTTTGGATGGAAAACAGAAATTGCTGGCTGTACCCCAGTGGTAGGAACGCCACATGCAGAGGATGGTGGAGCAACAGTAAGAAGAAGCCTAGGTCAACACCAACCCTTGACCACCTACCTCCATACAGGACGGAGGCACAGGCTCTCATTTCAGCACTGTTTTTTGTTTTGAGTGGGGTGGGGTTTGCTGTCACTCATTAGAGCGACCTACTGCAAATGATTATGGCATAATGCTTTTCTAGTATAGAAAATTTTCTATGTTGAAAATTTTCACTGTTTAAAAAATGTAAGTCTTGGTAAATTGACAAAGGTTTGGTGATAGTATTTCTATTTCTTTCTTCCCATGGAGAACGACAGTGGTAGGACGCTGGTACCGTGCCTGCCACTCATGGACCTCAGGTTCTTGGAAGAACCCATCAATCCTTTCAATGTCTCAATTTCCTGATCTGTAAAACTGGAAGAAGTCCTTCAACCTTCTCCAAGGGTTGTTATGAGAAAAAAATGAAACTGCCTATAAGATAGATTGAAATGTTATTACATAAACCAGTACAATGTAGAAGAAACTGTTAAAAATGGTGATTAAGCTTTTTAAGATGGTAATTTCTTTTCTTTCTTTCTCTTTTTTTTTGGTGGTAATGGGGGTTGAACTCACTCTTGCTAGGCAAGCATTCTTCCACTTGAGCCACTCCACCAGCCCAAAAGTGGTAAAATCTAACCCATTCTTCCCAGCAATACTATTCTATTGGGAATCATGGTTATTATTCTACAGACCTGTGCATTTGTAACATAATAACAGCATCACCAGCAAAGAGAAGAACATTGGGCTTTTGTTTGTCCTTCTTAGGATGGTGGTACTAGCTCCTCTAGTAGTGGGAACAATTAGCGAACGTGAGGGTAAATTAACACACACACACACACACACACTCTGTAGGAATGTGACCACAACGTTGTTACCCGTGCTCAGTCATAGCCCTACAGTTGTGTTTATAATGAGTGTTTCTCTTCCAGTCTTCCCAGAAAGGTCACAGGACAGATAGGGAGACCGGAATCCTGGGAAAATGCTTGATCCATGGCTGGGCATGTTTAGTACGAGGGATATACTCACTCAGAGCAGATTCTCAGGAATAGCGCTACTGCCCACAGGCGTGTGAAAGTTGGTTGTTGGGGAGGTGTGAAAAAAATCTTATAAAATGTCATACAACCACACACACACACACCACACACAGACATACACACAGAGTCCATAAATGGTTATATAATGCATTAGTGATATTGAACTACTGTGTGTGTCAGGTGGGGGGGGTCGTGACTAGGAAATAAATCCTAAAAGGGCTCCTTAGGGCAGTGACAATGACAATAAAAGGTTGGGAAACACTGGCTTAGAGTACAACAGCTCTGACTTTGGGTTTCTGGTGACTGCACCTTGGGACCTGCAGCATCTAACCTTTACCATGCGTGGTCCTTGGTGTGCTGGGCGTCTTCTGGGGCCTCTTTCCTTCCTTCATTTCTGAAGTTTCATGGCTGATTTCTGAAAAAAAGAGCCAATGCTCCTTTCAGGTGGGAAGTCCATGGGAAATCTCCCAGAGACTCTGGGAGGTCCCTGCACACTTCAGAACCTAGGGCTGGAGGATCTAGGACTTGCTCTTTTGAGAGGGCAAGTCTCCATGAGTCTTGGTGCATCTCCCATCACCACAACTGTCTCTGGGGGGAGGAGCAGAGCAAGTCTGGTCATAGGGGTTACCCTACTCATAGAGATAGCTATGGTGTCCAGTGGGATGAAGTCATCTGAGCCCCTGGGCCAGAGGCTCTCAAGTAGGATCTGTGAGCCTCAGGGATGGTCCCTAAAACCCTTCCAGGAGATCTGAGAGGTCAAAACTGTCTTCACACTAAGATGTTATTTGTCCTTTTCACTATTTCAGCCTTTGCAAAGACATAACAAAAGCAGCAGCAAGTAAAATTGCTGGTGCCTTAGTGCAAATCAGAGCAGTGTCTCAAACTTCAGCAGGGGTCATCCTATCCTTCAATTCCCATAAGAAATCCAGGTTCATGTCAGAATGTTCTTGACAAATCAGTAAAAGTGATTAACTTTATTAAATTTCTACCCATTAGTACAAGTTTTTAATATCCCATGTGAAAAATTCGTGAGTACTGTTACATCTTAAAGTACCATACATGTCTTAAGAAAAATAGGTGTGTGACTTGAGTTGCAAGCTCACCATAAAACTCAGTGAAGCAGTATTTTCCAAATGTCCATGATATCATAAAATCTTGCACGAGTAAACAATCCATTCAAAATGCAAGATGTTGATTGTAACGGAGTATGACAATTTCACTGATGTGGTTTCAGACTCTACATTACATCTACCCATTAAGAAATTCCCACCTGTCGAATTAAAGATGAACACCCACACATCTCCCAAAGGTTGTTAAATACTCCTCCCTTTTCCACACATCTGTGTGATGCTGGATTTTCTTCCTGTTCTTCAAACCAAGCAACATGACATGTCACAACTGATTGAATGCAGAAGCAACCATAACAAATCTAGCTGTCTTTCGTGAAGCTACACATAAGCACACCCAATTGAGACATCCTTAGTTTCAAACACCAGACAACTGCAGTTTCCCTAGCCTTGGGAAAACCAAAAGGTTAGGGTGAGGTCTTTGCATTTTTATCTTAAAGTAGCAAAGTTGTTTTTGTTTTTTTTTAATTCTCCCTTTAGTAGGAAAGAGAGATGTCTGTTCTTCTTGTGTATATAAACAGGAAATCCGTCACTCTTCGTCTCTTGCCTATGAAATGTGATTTGCCATTTGAACAGAAAGATTCTTGCCCCTCTCCTGTTCATTCTTACATAGCAGCCAAGTTGGTCTGGTTAAATTTAAAATCAGCTCAAGTCGCTTTACTGCTTAGATCTCTTCAGTTACTTGGAACTGCATTTACAATAAAATCCACTCCCCACCCCACCCTCCATGAACTTGGCCTATACGGCCTGCGTGAGCTTGCACCGGCCACCACCCTTCTCTTGTTCCCTCATCTTACCTCTTGGACAGCGTTTTTTCTGATGTCTCTTTTTTGGAGTTGACCAGATATTTCTTTTTCTTTTCTTTCCTAAGAAGAAAGGATAAGGAATCTTTTACAGTTGCAAACATAGATCTGCCAACCTTAGCGTCAAAGATATTCAGCTTTTTTTTTTTTTTTTGGGGTATAATTTGTTTCCATTTTATTAATCATACCAGTAAAAAAATCCTATCATAAATTTTCTATTCAACTCATATTGTTCACTTCTTCATGTATATGTTCCTTCTGGAACGTTCCATGGAATATCCTAAGTGCTCCATGTTTTGTTAGGGACAGGTGTCTTGTGATTCCAGACATTCCACCATTAGCTGAAATATCATGTGAATGGACACAAAAGATGAAAGATATACAGTTATAAATCCTACCGAAAATGGAACACCCATAGAAGATGCGTTTACCCTTTCCCCATTGAAAGTTGGGGCAGAACTAAATATTCTCATAGGGTCTCTTCCAGCTTTGTGACTCCGTGTGTTGCTTAGCATTTTATTTTCCTAATTACTGCTTGCTGGGTACTTCCATGTGTTTTCTATCAAATAGGAAGGCTTATTCCATTTGGCTTAAATAAGATTTGAACCCTAACTCAACCAGCAAAAACGCCCTGCTTTCCATATTATGCCTATGTCTTCTCTTCAACAAAACTAGAGATAAGGGCAGAACAGGTTCTGCCTGGAAGCGAGGCAGGGAGAGAGGGGAGAAACGACCCAAACAATGTATGCACATGTGAATAAATGAATAATAAAAAATTTATTTATTTATTTATTTTCATTTTTCTTTTATTATTCACATGTGCATAGATATTCAGCTTTTACTTCCACTCTTCAAACCACAGTGGCCAGGAGGTCACTGGTGACCCTAGGTGATCCTGTTTCATGGAGCAATAGGGGAAGAAGAAAAACTGTGAAGCTATGGCAGGGGAAGAGGGGGAAGAGAGCACTCAAGGTTTGACAGGATCATCACAGGAAGTAGAATGGTCATGCAGTGTGAAGGGATCCTTTACACAGGCATTATGAAAATGCAGAAGGTGCCCTGTGGCCAGCTGTGTGATTTTTAGCAGAACCTGCTTTCACATGCACTGTGAAGAAAGCAGATGAGCGGATTCCTCCAAGATCCAGACAGCTCACGAAAAGAAGAGAGGGAAGGCAGGTGAAGAGGAGGGCAACAGGTTACCAACATGATAACATAGATTCCAGGCTGGTAAACAGGGGTGTGAAAAAAGGCAGAAGAAGGATTGGGGGAGGGAAAGGCCAGTGGATAGAGTCAAACGAGTAGAAGGACAGCTGCAGAGAAAAAAAATTATAAGGAAGAAAACAGAGGAGGGTATTTTGGGGGAGGTATCGGGGTTTGAACCCAGGGCCTCACACTTGTTAGGCAAGTGCTTTACCAGATGAGTCACTCCCCAAGCCCTTTTTGCTTTAGGTTATTTTTCAGATAGGGTCTCACTTTTTTTTTTGCCTAGGGCCAGCCTTCAATCATGAGCTTCTACCTATGCCTCCGTAGGTGCCACTCTTCCTGGCTTGTTTGTTGAGATGGCATCGTGTTAACTTTTTGCCATTGCTGGTCTTGAACTATGACCTTCCCAAGTAGCTGGGATTACAGGTGTGAGCCACTGTGTCTTGCTGGATATTTTTAAATTATTATTTTTCTTATTTTAGGATTGGGGTGAGAAGGAGAGATCAAAGGTAGCTGTAGAAGAAGCAAACTTCAAGGACAAGTGTCAAAAAAGGGGATTCTTAAATGAATTACTGGGAAAGTGAGCTAGGTTTGAATGATGGTAAAGTCTACCAAGTGCCTTTGGGCATTGAAGGCCAAGAAATGGAGATGAGCAGATGAAGGACTGAGAGGCCAGCATACTGGAAATGTTGTCTTGTCCACATGGACCTTGACAGCATCTGGGATGATGGCAGGACCTCAGGTGGGAGAAAAACAGTCCCTGAGGTCTGTGTGTCTGTCAGAAGTGATGGGGAAGCTGATGAATGACAGCCTCAAAAGAGAGGGTGGGGGATCAGGAGCATGGGTGGAACAGTAAATAGCAAGTGGTGGACTTCCATTCTGCCTGCCACCCTGAGACGTGAGTGATGGATGGCAGAGGAGACCTGGCCATCCTCTCAGGAGTCCCCCTTTTGGTTAAAGAGGTCGGGGTAACTGACACGCTAGCAGCTGAGGATATACGAGTCTGATAATTTCAGAACAGATGATTCCAAGAGATGCTTATTTCAAGGTGTCCAAATGCCTTCTTGTTTCCTGTAATTTTACAGGATTTTGAGACAGGGTCTTGCTATGTAGCCCAGGCTGGTCTCAAATTCGAAATCCTCCTGCCTCAGCCTCCCAAGTGCTGGGATGACAGGTGTGCACCACCACGCCTGGCTCCTACACTTTTCATACAGGCCTTTGAAGAAGGCGCAATGAATAGGAATTACAGACACAAACCAGGCTGGGCATCATGACTACAGCCACATAGTGACTGCTAGTAACAGGGTATGACTGGGACAACAGAAAGCAGAACCAAGTTCATGCCAGTGACCTCTTTAGGGGGAGAGAAACCCTTACCTTTCTTGTTTACAGGTGTGCTGGTTACTTCCGGGGGCTCTTTTGGGTCACATGGTATTGGAGACGCCTCTCTTATCTCTGGCAAAAGAAATATAACTCATCTCAGAGCTCAGATCTCAGAATGGGCTGAAGAGAAAGTGCCAAGGGAAGTTCACAGGACAGCTAGGACGGTAGAGAGTGCACGTCTGGACTCTGGCGGCTGAAGCGGTCTGCTTGATTTTACTAACTAGTTTTATTGTTACCTGTGTGAGCATCACAAAGAATCAGGGGATGGTTGCCCCACCATGAGGCTTAGTAGGATTGACTAAGCAGAGTCCTTTACTGGAAGGAAGGAAGGAAGGGAGGGAGGGAGGAAGAAAGGAAGGGAAGGAGGGAGGAAGGAAGGAAGGGAGGAAGGAAGGAAGGAGGGAGGGAGGGAGGAAGGAAGGGAGGGAGGAAGGAAGGAAGGAGGGAGGAAGGAGGGAGGAAGGAAGGAAGGAGGGAGGGAGGGAGGAAGGAAGGGAGGGAGAAAAAGTAACAAAGGCTCTCAGCAGTCCATGCTCAGGGAATGCTCTGAGAGCAGGGTTACTGAATTGTGTTGGCCACAGGGAAGGGGGATGTCTTGGCTA